ATGTCAGTCGGTGGAACCAGTCTCACGTAAGAGTACGTGTAAGGTCGGTCCGGGCCGCTTCATCCCACGATGCCGCCGAATCAAGAAAAGACTAGTAACGACAAGTAAATTGACAATATCGACGCCCACAACTGCTTTGTGTTCTACTCGTGCATAGAAACTACGCATAGACCTAGCTCATGATGCCACTGTTGGGTATCGTAGCAGAAATTTAAAATTTTCTACGCATCACCAAGATCAATCTATGGAGTAATCTAGCAACGAGGGGAAGGCGAGTACATCTACATACCCTTGTAGATCGCTAAGCGGAAGCATTCAAGTGAACGGGGTTGATGGAGTCGTACTCGTCGTGATCCAAATCACCGATGATCCTAGTGCCGAACGGACAGCACCTCCGCGTTTAACACACGTACAGCCCGGTGACGTCTCCTACGCCTTGATCCAGCAAGGGGAGAAGGAGAGGTTGGGGAAGACTCCATCCAGCAGCAGCACGACGACGTGGTGGTGGTGGAGGAGCACGGGACTCCAGCAGGGCTTCGCCAAGCACTACGAGAGACAAGGAGGGAGAGGGGTAGGGCTGCACCAACAGGGGAGGAACTTCATGTGTTGGGCTGCCCCTTTGCCTCCACTATATATAGGGGGAGAGGAAGGGCTGCGCCCCCACCTAGGGTTTCCTCCCTAGGGGTGGCGGCAGCCCTAGATCCCATCTAGGGTGGCGGCCACAAGGGGGAGAGGAGGAGGCGCACCTGAGGTGGGCCTTAGGGCCCATCTGCCCTAGGGTTTGCCCCCTCCCCTCTTGGAGGCGCCTTGGGCCTTGGTGGGAGGCGCCCCAGCCCACCTAGGGGCTGATCCCTTCCCACTATTGGCCCATGTAGGCCTCCGGGGCTGGTGGCCCCACCTGGTGGACCCCCGGACCCCTCCGGTGGTCCCGGTACACTACCGGTGATGCCCGGAGCACTTCCGGTGGCCAAAACCATACTTCCTATATATTAATCTTTACCTCCGAACCATTCCGGAACTCCTCGTGACGTCCGAGATCTCATCGGGGACTCCGAACAACATTCGGTAACCACGTACGTACTTTCCCTATAACCCTAGCGTCATCGAACCTTAAGTGTGTAGACCCTGCGGGTTCGGGAGTCATGGAGACATGGCCGAGACAACTCTCCGGTCAATAACCAACAGCGGGATCTGGATACCCATGTTGGCTCCCACATGATCCACGATGATCTCATCGGATGAACCACGATGTCAAGGATTTAATCAATCCCGTATACAATTCCCTTTGTCTAGCGGTACGATACTTGCCCGAGATTCGATCGTCGGTATCCCGATACCTTGTTCAATCCCGTTACCGGCAAGTCTCTTTACTCATTTCGTAACACATCATCCTGTGATCAACTCCTTGGTCACATTGTGCACATTATGATGACGTCCTACCGAGTGGGCCCAGAGATACCTCTCCGTTTACACGGAGTGACAAATCCCAGTCTTGATTCGTGCCAACCCAACAGACACTTTTGGAGATACCTGTAGTGTACCTTTATAGCCACCCAGTTACGTTGTGACGTTTGGCACACCCAAAGCACTCCTACGGTATCCGGGAGTTGCACAATCTCATGGTCTAAGGAAATGATACTTGACATTAGAAAAGCTTTAGCAAACGAACTACACGATCTTGTGCTAGGCTTAGGATTGGGTCTTGTCCATCACATCATTCTCCTAATGATGTGATCCCGTTATCAACGACATCCAATGTCCATGGTCAGGAAACCGTAACCATCTATTGATCAACGAGCTAGTGAACTAGAGGTTACTAGGGACATGGTGTTGTCTATGTATCCACACATGTATCTGAGTTTCCTATCAATACAATTCTAGCATGGATAATAAACGATTATCATGAACAATGAAATATAATAATAATAACTAATTTATTATTGCCTCTAGCGTATATTTCCAACATTATCATTAGTTACCTTGCTGTTTTTATATTTTCAGATTACAAAAACCTATATCTACCATCCATATTGCACTTGTATCACCATCTCTTTGCCGAACTAGTGCACCTATACAATTTACCATTGTATTGGGTGTGTTTGGGACATAAGATACTCTTTTTTATTTGGTTGCAGGGTTGTTTGAGGGAGACCATCTTCATCCTATGCCTCTCACGGATTGATAAACCTTAGGTCATCCACTTGAGGGAAATTTTCTACTGTCCTACAAACCTCTGCACTTGGAGGGCCCAACAACGTCTACAAGAAGAAGGTTGTGTAGTTGACATCAAGCCCCTAGATAATGGCCCAGGACCCGCCAGTCAGTGACACATGTGAAGATCATCAACGTGGGGCTGCGCAAGGCGGTGCGGTGGTTGTTGGTGCGAGGAGGTGTAGTGGCCAAACTTCCCGTAAACAATGGTTATTTTAGAGATAGGGGAGTTGTTGGGGTTGTGATTTCTTCCTTTGGCAATCTGGAAATGGACTAAAAAGGATTCTCGCCTTTTCGCTCCTAGAGGTGAGCCTGAATTATCGAACCCACGGGAGAATGATCCTCTTGAAGCTAGGGTTTCAAGCAAGCTTTTGTTAAAGAAACAATTCTAGCTTTTGACTGGATCAAAATCAAACAATTGAAGGAGAACACTTATAATAAAAGTAGGCATGGGTATGAGGTCTTAATGCTTACAACCATATATTTGTGACGGGACCAAATATGATCTTAATTTATGCGCTGAAAGTCACCCATCGAGATGTGCTTGTTTTGAACCGAAGTGGGGGAGGTGTCCAAATTACGTCTTGACCGGCACGCGTCCTACATCAAGAGTCAGTTGTTCAGCCAAAGGCCCTATCCGTTTCATGGGGTTGCCTCGATAATTTAGATTGCAATAATTAGACAAAAGCATTTGGTGTTTAGTGACTACACATCTTGAATCCCTAGGGATAGGATCCGTGCTAGTGTACTAAAACTTTCTGTCACTACTGTTCAGAATAACACTTCATGGTCTCCCTGCCCTTAGCCTCCTTGTGGCCCATTCTTCATGATTCTGGGTATTTACAATGATGATGAACGCAAAAGAGACAAGAGACATCTACAGAATAATTTTATTTCACACACACAGGATGTTAATTCAAAACACTTCCATTGGCCCCTTCAACAAATACATCGGATTGCAAGGCACTTGCCTCAACCCATACCTTACGGAACTACTCATACATGGAGATCAGATCACATGAAGAACTCGTCATAGAACAGATCATGAAGGTAGATTGATTGATAGTATGTCTTACAATGGATGCTCGTGTGTGATACATGATTACAAGTATGCTCTAATGGAGGAAGAACTATGCTGGAGATGGAGATGGCGGCTATGGAGATGGGAAATGGCGGTGGCTAGGGTTGATGAAGATGACTCTATTCTGCCTCCGTTCACGGCTCTTCTGTTAACATTTTGGCCTCGACCCCTTTATAAAAGTTGTTCATGTGGATGAGGAGCCTCGGTTTTCACGCCATACGGCCGCCTATACAAGCGGGTGTGATTGTATGGTACACCGTATTTTGCTCTGGTTTAGCTTGTGTGCCTCCTCTTGATTTCTTCTATCTCCTCCTTTACCCATTTCCATGTTCTCACTTGATTTCGTCCATATTTAGCCCATTTCATGTCGATACACAAAAAAGAGAGGATTTGTAGAGTCTTATGCATTCATTAGTCATTAGTGGAAATATTGGCACGGATATCTTGGTTTTAATGAAATATATCAGTTTGAACTAAGGGTAGAGAAGTGTAAGAATAACACTCATCAGGTTGCTCTAACTATCCAATCACTGGTTGGTTATCTTTAATCATGAATTAATTAAACAACCAGTTTTGCAGATTACTTATTCCTGTGAATCAAACATCCAATTCTGCAACATGTTTTCATAATTCTATGTGTTTGCACATGTGGTTCTTATCATATTTTTGCATTTTTACTCATGCGTTTTTAAAGGGAAACACTCAGCGTCAACCGGCTCAAAAGAGACTCTGCGACCTTCATGTCCCTGTGGACCCACGCACGTCTTCATCTTTCCTGATTCCCGTAACAACACGCCAACCGTAACATTGTCCCCTTGACTCTCCTCTTCCTCTCGCGTCTCTACCCTTAGACGAGGCGCCGGCAGTCGGTCGCCCCGCCACACACATCGATGTTGCACTCCTATTTCCCCTTGCATCTAGATCGGGATCGCCGGCCGACGTCGGAGGTTGTGCACGACATTCGCGTGGCCAGGTCGTAGCTCTAGTGGCGCACAACGTCTTTGTTGGCATTGTCGACGCCCATGGAGCCCTCCCCACTGATTTGGCAATCTGCGTGCAAGCACCGCCCGCTGATGGCAAGAAGGAGCCGATCCAAGCTTGAGTTTGTCCATGGCCATGGCAGCCGAAGGATAATTTATTTGCAACAAGGGTGTTGTTGGTTTTTTGTTTTTGCAACAACAGCGGTGTTGCTAACGGCGGTGCACAATGACGATAGCTTAGACAAGCTTTTACAAAATCATCTATGTTGCAAAAAAATAATCTACAATAAGACCTACTCCCTATGTCCCATAATATAATAACGTTTCTGACACTAGTGTAGTATCAAAAACGTTCTTATATTATGAGACGGAGGGAGTATGTTGCAAGAAAGAAAATTTACAACAAGATTTGTGTTGTAATGATGAAGACGTGCTCGGCCGCTTGATGTGTCAGATTTGACTGCTCGCGGCCTGGTCGATCTATTTAAAAAGACCACCCGGCGAATTCGTAGGACGCTCGTTTTTAAAAGAACAAATCATAAGATGCCCTAAACTAGCGTTGTAGTACTCCGTAGAACAGAGGGAGGAAACAAAATACTAGCCTCTCCAAAGTCCACATCCACAAAGGTGGAAGGAACACAGCACCAAGCCCTCCCCTGCACCCCACTCCCTACCCACCTCGCCGGAGGAGAACCGAAGCCGCCGCTGCCGCCGCCCGCCCCCGTGAAATGGACACCGTGGGCGCCCGGCTGAGCCGCTCCTCCACGCGCTATGGCCCCGTCGGCAGCAGCAACGCCTCCTTCAGTGGCCCCGTCAGGAAGTGGCGCAAGGCGTGGGCCCCTCTCGCCGGCGGCGGCGCGGGGTCCGCCTCCGCCGGTATGGGTCCCATTGGGTGCCCGAGGGGTAACAAGGTGGTGCTGCTCAAGTGGGCGCCGGTGAGCGGTGCCGGCGACGGTAACAACAAGGAGGTCGCCGCGGCGGCCACCAGACGGCGATACGTTCCGGTGAGGTTTCTTGGCTTCAAAGATTAGGTCTTGGCGATTGTTCGGTTGCTTTATTGCGCTCTGGTGGGTTCGATCTGCTTCGGAGGTCGGACATTTGGCCGTTCTTGCCTTCTTGGCTTCTCCCCGGTCATAGTTTTAGGCACAATGTAGGAGGGGATAGGAGACCACACGGGTTCTTCTTGGATGATTTTGGCGCTAGCGTCAGCAACTATGGTCTGGACGCCGGAAATGTAGGATTTGGGGGTTGGCCTTCTACTTCAGCTTGAGTTGGGCTACGGGTTTTGTGTATGGTGGGAATTTCAGACACAGTTGATGAGGGTAGTAGGCTATTTCCGGGCAAAACAGGGCAATAGCAGGCCTTGCAATTCTTCAGTACAACTCGTTCAAGGCGAGCGTGCTGGTTCAACAATTGTGGAGATTTCTGAGTGATTGTTTGGGCGGTTGTGCCTCTGCTTCTGCCTCAAGGCTCAAGATTTAGCCTTGTGGTTAGAATTTGAGTATTGGTGACACTCCTAAATTAGTCAATTTAGTGGTTGCACTGATGGTTAAACACCGAATATGGGGTCATTGATTGATTACCTAGTGTTCTTATTTTTATTGTCATTCGTCACCTGTATTCAGATATGCTTTTGAAAGAAAGTCCATCTGAATCCTGAACTATTGTGCTTGGTTTGATTTGGGCCCTAAAGGGTTAAACTATGATACCGTACCATCTATATTAAACCCTGAACTTTCAAAAACTATCTATTTTAAACTCTGAATTTCTTAACATTTCCTACTTCTACAAAAAAAGAACAATTTTCGTGAAGACCCTGTAATGCACAACCACTATCCAAAACCGAGGCAGGTTTCAAGTCAATGGTTTTAGAAAGTTCAGGGTTTAATATGGACAGTTTCATAATTCAGGGTTTAACACCATAGTCTAGGGTTTAAAATGGACTTGTATGTTTACAATTGTTGTGTACATATATGATAGCCTCTTGTCTTGTGGATGCAACTATTTCTTGCTAGGTCTTGGTGCTCTTTTACTTTGTTCCTACAGTCGGCAGTGATGTTGAGCTTCAGGTTTGCTTTACAGAGAGACTTAGAACTGGTGGATGCAATCAATTTGTGTAGAAGTATGTGTGCACTGAAAATATTGCCACTAGTGACTGTCTATTTGAATTTAGTTACGGCACTTCTAACAATGTAACTTCCAGTTCGAGGATAGGGCTAATGATACAGATTTGTCATCTGATGGTAAACAAATGGTATAAGGAAATTTCACCCGACAGAGCCAAAATAATGGACAAGTTCAGTTTCATGTACGTATTTTGGATTTGCTGGGCTTTCATTTGGGAAATGGATATAGCTGAATAAACAGAATTGATACATCAAGTACAAGTAGTAGTTTTTCAATCATTTTATTTGTAAAGTTCAGCGATATGTTTGTGTTCATTTGTTACATATATTGTGCTAAGCTCATTTTCCCTTGTGCCAAGTAACTGGGAAAGGACCCCATTAAATTTTTTTGTACTCGCCCAACATCAGTTTCTATTTTCCTGGTTGTCAGTACAACATTTTCTTTGCCAGAGAGATAGCACAGCATTCTGCATACCACAGTGATAAAACTTATACGTGTATCTGTACCCTCTTTCAGGTTTCGGGTGTGCCACAGAACTCTACCAGAAAAGGCGGCAGCACCGAGCTGAACTTGAACCTCGGTTTGGAGGACCCGGATGATGACAGCGACGCTGATTTGAGCCCAGACGAACAGCGTGACATGGGCAGCACCCCGCATTCGGAGAACCGACTGAAGAGGAAAGTGTTTTAACCGTCAACCTCGGATACTAGAACCTAAGCAGCAGCAGCAGCTCCATGTTCCACATGAGTTCTGCACCATCTTTGCCATGCGAGGTCCCTGGAGTAGCCTTATTATTATTAGTGTGTAGCTTGTATCTGCTGTGCTCCCGTGTTTCAGTAGATGAATTGATGTTGTTTCATGCCAATTGGGAGGCTTATCGCCTTGTTATTGTTGTATTAATGTCATGAACTTGTGAGGAAACTGGTAGCGTACTGTGTACCAGCACGTTGGTCTATGGAATCCTTTTCAGTCGTGAGAGGTGATCGGCGCCCTCAATGGCCATCGTTCGTGGATGCTAGAACACGGAACGGGACCCACAGTTTCCTTTTTCCTTTCTCTTTTATTGAGGGCAACCTACTTTTTTTTGAAAGCAACAGATTTTATTCCTCAGATAATAGACATATCATTTATAGTATAGTGAGAAATAAAATCAGGGATTATAGATTCCCAAAACATAGAAGATTTTTCACTAAATGTTCTTCGCTAGGTTGTGAGCCACTTCATTTGCGTCATGGCGACACTGTATATGAGACACTCACTAAGTCCAGCCCTAAATGTTTACATTCAAGTACCATTGCAACATCTGAGCCCACATATGTTTCTAGTTGCTGCACTGCTTCCACCACAAAGCTACAATGTGATTCAATGATCACTTTGTTACATCTGATCCTCCATGCTAGATATAATCCATTCCGGATCGCTGAGCCCACATACATTTCTGGTTGTTGCGCTGCTTCCAAAACTACAATCCGACTCAATGATCATTTTGTTACATCCGATCCTCCCTGCTAGATATAATCCATTCCGGATCGCTGTCATCTCTGCTGAGTCAACGCTGGTCACCTGAGGAACGAATCATATTGTCTCAACAATGAAGTTCCCTCTTCCATCATGGGCAATAGAGCCTGTTGTACCCGAGAGTTTCAACTCGGAAAGCAGCATCAACATTGATTTTGACTACATCCCTAGTCGGCGTCTTCCACATATGAGCATGGCTTCTTGTAGGATGATCTTTCATATTACTTTGAGTATAATTTGTTGCTAGAACTTTTATTGAAATCGCGGCTCTTTCGGGGTTCTGAATTGGCTCGCCTTTGGTACGTTGACGACGTTGCGACCATAGGTACCAAGCTACTACCATCATATGTTCTGCGGTCGGCAGTCCATCTGTGACTGAGTTTATCCTGCTCGGGATCTCAACAGTAATAGAGCCTAATCGGTCCTGCCTTACCGCTCCCGCGACAATGTTCTGCACCCATAAAGTTGTCCAAACTTCCTTTGCCCTCTTACATGTAAATAGACAATGTTGGATGTCTTCAACTCCAGTCGCACAGAACAGACATTAAAGGACCAGTGGTATGTGTCTATTTGCTAGCAAGGAAGTGATCCATTTAGCGCCTTCCCCACAAAATGTTTGATCTTACCCGGGATTTTGAGGTTCCAAATTTACTTCCAAATTGTATTAGTGTTTATGTTTCCTTGTCCATCTGTTCAAACAAGGCGTTGGCCAAACTGGTTTCTAACTCTCTGTGGTAGGACCATTGGACCGAGAAGGACCCCAGACGCATATAATTCCAATCTATAAAATCTTCCACAAGGTGAACATTTAAAGGGATTTGGAGGATCCTATAAGCATCCACCGGAGAAAAAACATCTCTAATCAACACTTCATCCCATGTGCTATTATGAATCTATGAGTTCCTCCACATATCTGAGCATAGTTGCACCTCTACGGGTAATTACCTTTCGTGAAGGGCTTAATGGAATTCATGGGTCTTGCCTAATATCAATTTTTGCTCCCAATCCCACACGCCAGATACAACCCCGTTGAAAAGTTTGGATGCCCACAACAATGCTTTTCCAAGTGTATGAAGAACCCTTCTTTGGTCCAGCCTTCAAAATGTTACCATCTGGATAATATTTTGCTCTTAAAACACATTCACATAAGGAGTCTGGATTTTGGATTAGTTGCCAACACTGTTTTGCTAACAAAGCAAGGTTAAAAACTGTGAAGGTCTCTAAAACCCAAGCCCCCTTTCTTCTTTGATACACACAATTTCAACCATGCAAACCAATGCATCTTCTTCTCCTCATTATCACTTCACCAAAATCCAGCAATCTCATCAGTGATTATTTGCAGATTCCTTTGGGCAGTTTAAATACTGACATCGCATACAAAGGTATTGCTTGAGCTATTGATTTCAGCAAAATTTCCTTACCCTACATCGAGAGAATTTTCTCCTTCCATCCTTTGAGGCGCTGGCATACACGGTCAATAAGCTGTTGGAGATAATCGCTATCCACCCCTACCATAGTATGGTGCCCCAATTATTTGTCCAACAGGGCTTCCGTGACAATATGTAGTTCCCCATACACCTCCTCCCATATACCAACCGGAGTATTAGGACTCAAGAAAATGCTGGATTTCGCATTACTCACCATCTGTCCTGAGCTACTACAATAAGTGTCCAAGATCCTCTTCAAGGTGTTTGCACATTGCATGTTTGCCTTCATAAGAATTAGGGAGTCATCTACAAAGAGGAGATGTGAAATAGTAGTCGCACTCCTGCAAACTTTAATACCTCCAAGGTTCCCAATCTCCTCCTCATGAGCAAGCATACTAGATATACCTTCCAAACATAGCAAAAATAGGTAGGGGAAAGAGGGTCCCCCGTCTGAGCCCTTTGGTGGGTGTAAACTCATCTATCTAGTCATTAAAACGGACCTGTAACTGATAGAAGATACACACTCCATTATTAGCTAGACCCACTGTTCATGAAATCCCATTTTTAACATCACCCTCTCCAAAAAGCTCCATTCAACTTTATCATAGGCTTTATTCGTATCTAGATTAACTGCACAATAACCAGAAGACACATGTGTTTTCCTTTTTATAGTGCGAAAGCATTCATACGCCACCAGCACGTTATCAGTGATCAACCTTCCTGGTACAAAGGCACTCTACATAGGAGAAATAATCTCTAGGAGAATTCTCTTGAGTCTGTTAGCAATCATCTTCGAGATAATTTTATAAACCACATTACAGGGACTAATAGGTCTGTATTGTGTTATTACCTCTGGACTATCCACCTTGGGGATTGATAACCCACAAGTATAGGGGATCATGACAGTCTTTGAGGGTAGTATTTGACCCAATTTATTGATTTGACATAAGGTGAGCCAAAGAATATTTATAAGCCTTAGTAGTGGAGTTGTCAATTTAACCACACCTGGAAAGTTGTTTCTCTGCAGCAAAGTATTTAGTAGCACAGTAGTTTGATAGTCTTATTAGTAGCGGCAACAGTAGCAACAGTAGCAGTTTTGTAGTGATTGTATCAGCAGTAGCAACAATAGTAACTTACCACAGACAATATGAGCAAAGCATAAGCATTGAATCAACGATGGATATTTGTGTGGATGACATTCACCATGTAACATTCACAACCTAGAGCGATATACAATAGATCCAATTCATCAATGCAATGTAGGCACGTATTCCGCATATAGTCATACATGCTTATAATAAGAACTTGAATGACATCTTTTGTCCTACCCTCCTGTGGCTACAGGGCCCATAATAAACTCTAAGGGATATTAAATGCCTCCTTTTAATAGAGAATCGGAACAAAGCATTAACACATAGTGAATACATGAACTCCTCGAATTACAGTTATCCCAGGAGAGTATCCCAATTATTGTCACCTTGGGGTCTATGATTCAGAACAATAACAAGTGCATATAACTAGCAGATAGGATCAACATCTCAAATATATTCATGAAAACATAGAGGGTTCAGATATGAAATCATGGCACTTGGCCCTAGTGACAAGCATTAAGCATAGCGAAGTCATAGCGACATCAATCTCAGAACATAGTGGATGTCATTGTGAACATAGTGGATTACCGCTGGATATTTGTGAACCAAATATATGTCCATTATGCATGATTACCGATTTTGCAATTATCATTGTGAGAATTGCACATTTGTGTATTTATTTGGTATTTATTAGTTTTTTCTTGTGTCTATAGGTGTATTGGAGCAACCTAGGACCAAGCACGATGAAAGGAGTAATGATGGTTTCGATACGGAGTCAGCCAAGGGTCTGACTTAGCCATGTTGAAGGTCAGAAAAGTCATTTTTTCAAAGTGCTCCAAATCAAGATCTAAGACCAGAAATGGATCAGCGTCGTTCATACGAATCCAACGAGCCCAAGAACGTCAAAATCCGAGTTCGTATGAAGAAATGGCGGTCGTTTTACCAGAGAGAGATTGCACAAAAAGGCATTACGAAAGATGGTGTTCCAAATGACCGCATGTGATCGTTTCAGCGGTCTTTTGACATGCAGATAGCTCCAAAAGTTTCCCTTCCATGTGGGATTCTTCACTGATTTCGTCCCCAATTGTCCTGACGGGATCCTTGGCTCATAATGAAGGGATTGGCAGAAGATAAGGCTCATCTTGAGCCCTTGGATGACCACATCAATAGACGAGATACCGGGAGGCCTTCATATAAGCACCATCAACCCTAGCTTCCTCTTGCTCACATTTGTTCATCCATGCAGTCGTCGTCCATCTCAATTGTTCCTCCAAGACCACCTCCACATAGAAGAGAAGGGCCAAGCCAAGAGGAAGAAGGGGTGCCTCCACCACGCGCACCGGCCTTCAACGTCCGCACGCCATCATCATAAATGGCACTACCATGCCCTTGTCCTGCATCAACTTCATGTCGGCTTGTAACTTGCTCTCTCCCTCTATGATGTTTGAGTAGTTGTGTTAGTTCTTGAGTAATTGGACGAACCCTTGCATGGTTAATACTTTGTTGAATAAAGCGATCCAATATTCTCTTTATATGTATTGCGTTGATTGTCTCATGGTGTTGTGAAGGGCGCCCACACAACAATAGCCACGTATGGACTTGAGATGATTTATGTTGGTGAGAAGGGTAGTTGTGGAGGGTAGGTGGTGATAGT